AGTGTTTTTAAATGATGCCAGCCTCTGGCAGGAGAAATGGCTCTGGAAGGTGTAGATACTCAAGGTCATAGCAGATATTTAAGCCACAGTTGATTTTGGGAAGCAAGCATATGCTCACTGTAACGACTCAGATCATGGAGAAATCTTTGTGGGTGAGGGAGTGAAGTTTTAAAATGTGATAGAATTGCAGAACCTTGCTGTGCTCTAAGTCCTACACATGCTCTGTTTTATATTTGTTTCATGATAGCAGCTATTATTATTTGCATGACCATAACAGCTAAGAGTCTTCATCATGGACCAGCACCCCATTGTTCTAAGCACTATACAGACAGAACAAAAAGATTGTCTCTGTTCCAAAGAGCTTACAATCTAAATATAAGACAAGAGACAACAGATGGATACACAGACAGATGGGGAAAGATAAGGAAACAAACAAATTAACCAGTGAATCCCTGCAACTGCTTTTAGTTTTACAAAACCAAGTGGACTATTGTTTATATTCTACACATTGTTATGCCTCAGTAATAGTATGTACTTGACCCAGAATTCCCCTGGTAGCCTTGATCTAAGGAAAGAAAAATTCATGTACTGACTTAATTCCCCTCAAGAGTTTCAGGGAACTTGCCCTACTCAAGTAGAATGTGGGCCATATTTTGGTCTGGAGGTGGGTGGGATGGGATGGGCTCAAGCCAGAGAAGTGATCAGACTCCTCAAGTTAAGCCTCACACATGCGTGGTTTGGAGTATCACATACGTTCATTGTAGGGGCCATGGTTTGCTAGCCTATAGCAATACCTTGAAACCCAGAAATAACTGATTTTCCATTTGTTTCTGGGTAAGACTTCAAAGTAGAGGAGTAACATACTCTGTGGCATACATCATTAAGCAGGCAGCCAGCCACCTTTTGAACTAGCTATAGATTTTAAATTGTCTTCAGTGGTAGCCCTCTGTAAAAGAACATTCAGTAATCTAAACTAATTACTAGTGTATTTTTATAAGATTGCCAAGGGCTCCCAGAGCTTTGGATGGGTACTCTTTTATTGGGGGGAGGGGGGAGTGAACATATATAAATAAATAATGTAGATATAACAAAGGCATGGCTAAATTGTGGTGAGGAGTGCATCACAGGAATGAAAAGGAGCTATTCCATTCCATAGCTACATGTCCCCCAGCAATCCCACACACATGCTGAACAGAACCGATTGGAACCACTTGAGAGGGAAGAATGGAATTGCTTAAGGATGATGACTAATCAGAATCTTCAAGTGCATCAGCAAAACCTCCTGATCACATGCTAAAAGTTGACAGATCTGAAAGAACAAACTTTATCTGTTCAACACCAACATTTTCTGCTCTTCAATAGTTCAAATGAAATCAGTCTTGTACATGAAGCACATAAAATTCAGAATCGAAACAGAATGACTGGAACATCCAGTTGAGATGGGAGGCCTGACATTACCAGATTTTTAAGAGAAACAGTACTCTAGGGCATCAGAAATTAGACTGGTACTGGCATGGATCTCCAATAGAGAGGCTCAATCATGTATACAAATGGAACTGAAACTGGCAAACCCAATCTCATTCTGTAACTGTGCTAGACTTGTATCCCAAAATGCTTGCACCCATGAAGTATTACTAACTAATAAAAAGTGCACTTACTAATTGGGTATATATGAAGCACTTGATCAAACAAAAAGAACTCATCTCCGGAATATAAAAAATAATGGTGCTTTCAACCCTGGGCTGCATGAGGAAGTTTTAGAATTCGGGGCAAATGTCACTATGATGAGTGGAAGTATTTCTTTAGGATTGAACAACCATGAAAACAAATTGATCTACCGGATATATTAAAATAAAAAAATGTGGAACATGAGTTTACAGAGAAAAAGGTGGGTGAGGTTAGCGCTCTGTTGCTTGAAAGCTTACCTCTCTCACCAACAGAAGTTGGTCCAATAAAGATATTACCTCACTTACTTTGTTTCACTAAAATCCTTGGACTGACATGACTACACCACCACTACATACATAAGTTTATACATATTGCTTACTTCATTAAAATCATTTCTCCCTCCCCCCCCCATTCTTGTTCTTAGAAACCACTTCGCTACATTTGCTGAAACTTTCTAAAAAAATTCAGCCTGACTCAGATACCCAGTATGGAAAATTTCAGCCAGAATGGTTAACATTTGGCAAAGTTATAAGCAACTGATAATGGGAAGTGTCAGGTTTTTAACTATAAGCAGCACTACCCGCTCTTCCTATAATTAATATATATACACACAAACACGCATCATCCTGCACACACAGTGTACAAAGCTGAATCCAGGAAATGGTAAATCCATTGCTTCAGTCTAGGCTTTACAGGGAAATACATTTCTCAAAGAAAATTCATGCTTTGTGAGGGTGGGGTGATGGAGCAGAGAAAAACATTGTAGGTTCCAGCTCATAAACATCTGTTTTCACACTTGACTAGTAAGAAAGGTTTACTAGCAATTTGGTACATACCAGAGATAAAATACAAAATGGATAATAAGTTGTTTATTGGGTAGTAAATTATTCAGAGATGTGAGGGTTTCCATGGAGTCTGTTCCAATTTTCACAAATTAAAAGATGACCATTCACTGCATCAAGAGGTAAAATTATAGAAAATAGCTTTCCAAATGATACTCTTATATGGACTCATTTTGAATACATTTAAGTAGGGCTATAAAGGTTCATTTTAAAATGTTAAAAAAAAAAATACCTGTTTTGAAAAACATTTCCCTGTGTGATGCTAGTGCAGACATCACATAGTGATGTTTGGAGGATAATTAGATTAATTTTTTGAAACTGTCACAATTTAACAATAGAACAAACAGTCAATTTTACTTTCTCAAACATTATTTAAAGGAGCAGGCATATTTAATATGTAAAGCATATTACACACAATCTGTGGAATGTAAGAAAGTGATAAGAGACAGTACAAATTAAAATGTAATAAAAGTGAATGTGCGAACAAAAGAAATTACAATTAAAAATAACCATTAAAACCAAAACATCAGTCTTCATCTTATATTCCTACACCATAGCATACTGCAAATTCAGTATTTTACACACACGCACACTAAGATCTGGTCCCTACCAAAGTTATAACCAGACCTCACTAAAGAATGGTGACACACATACCTGACCCTCCGTAGAGCCAGCAATGGCGACATCTGGTTCCACCAAAACCATTTTATAATGTTAATGCAGGACACTGAGCAGAAGACAGAATGGAGACAGACAACCAAATAGTAAGAACCAAGGTGTGGGTGGAATTGCTTCATTAGAACCTTCTCAATAAACCACCCATGCACAACCACAGAGAGGATAAAAACCAGGTTAGGGTTACCATATTTCAACAATCAAAAAAGAGGACGGGAGGAGCCCCGCCCTAGCCCCTTCCACTCCCTCCCACTTCCTGCCCCCACAGAACCCGCAACCCTCCCCCCCACGCCTTGTCCCCTGACTGCCCCCTCCTGGGACCCCTGCCCCTAACTGCCCCCCAGGACTCCACCCCCTACCTAAGCCTCCCTGCTCCTTGTCCCCTGACTGCCTCCTCCTGAGACCTTCCCCACATCCTAACTGGCCCCCTAGGACTCTACCCCCTACCTGTCCCCTGACTGCCCCAACCCTTATCCACACCCCCACCCCCAGACAGACCCCTGGGACTCCCACGCCCCATCCAACCACTCCCC